TCGGTAGAGTAGAAGTGGTGGATAAGCATCAGTGGCTCACCGTGGCGTACGCCCTATTGATGGTTGAAGCAGAGGAGCGATGCGACGGTCTTGCCACGTGCGACCGAGCGAGGCGGCGGCGCTCTGCAATGGACACCGACACGTCACCCCTCCAACGATGAGCACCCTGGGCAAAATAATGCGAGCAATGGATGGAAGGAGTCACGACGAACTTAGGGTTACGAGCAATTGAACTATTACCACTCCTATAGGCCTTACCCCCAACCCTCTGGTCACGGCGGCAGACCACCGTTGGACCCGACGAGAGTGGGGCATCTAACTAACTTCCTCTGCTTCTCACTGACGTGAGGAATTGAGCTGGGAAGCTTTGAGTTGGTTATTATGAAGGGAAGAGGGCGGCGCATCGCCCCTGCTACCTCACGCGACACGGCCCCAATAGAGGTAAAACGGCCATGACCTGATAGGGTACGACAACGCGAGGACATGGCCTCACGAGCGAGGGCAATAGGCACGTCGGGTAGTGCTAGATGGAGCCAAGAGGTGTGCCAGCACGCGGGACACTTGAATGCGGTAGCCGGGGCCGAGCGGCTAACCGACGTTGGCTAGTGGAACAGGGCAAATCAGGGAGGCATCACCGTCACCCTGAAGCTGGGGTTGGCTGACCCAGATACGGCAGGCGACGGCATGGGCTCGCAGTAGGTGAGACGCAAGGTAGGGTGACTGCCACGTTGACACGGCGACAGTGGCCACGACCTTCGCTCGACCCGCGCGTGGCTCAGCGTACATGGTGGCACACGTAATCATGGAACAAGCCCTAATGTTGTACTTGGTTCTCGCTCGCTCGTCGTCTCAGCTTCTGCAGTGCCGCAGGCCGGCAGCGGTAGGGCCACGGCGTGCAGCTGCGCGCATGTGCAGTAGCCAGGAGCTAGCTGATCGAGTAGGCACCCATCAGCAGACTGAGCGCGCGGGCGGCATTAATTCCATCCATCGAGAGATCGATCGGATCCACCGATCGATGTGATGGGTTGGGGAAACTCGGCGGAGACGTCGGCGGCGGTGGAGCAGCAGTCGTCGTCGTCGTCGGTGGCCGCGGAGGCGGAGGCGGGCGCGTACTACTACGTGGACGGGTGCCCTGGGTGCGCCGTGGACCGTCACAAGGCGGCCAAACCGGGCATCCCCTACGCCAGCTTAATCTACGTCTGGACCGTCACCCTCTGCACAAGTACGTCTTGTATTTTATGGTATGTGTAATTAGCCAGTACAATTAAATTGACACAAAAAATATACATGCATACCAATAATTATGGCGCTATATATATATATATATATATATATATATATATATATATATATATATATATATATATATATATATATATAACACAAACTAAACCAATATTAAACTAAATTTATATACACCACTATTAGACCTAGCTACTAGCTAGATCGAGCTCTCACACACGCATCTACATATAGATCTAGGACACCATGGACTAGCACCATAAATACCTTCTCTTTTCTCTCTCCTCCTACCGTTAGCTAGACCACCAAGGCCATGATTAGTTGCCCCAAATTCTAGAATTTGGTACTATGCAAAAAAAAGATTTCCCGTCACATCAAATTTACGGTACATGTATGGAGTACTAAATGTTGACGAAATCAAAAACTAATTGTATAGTTTGGTTGTACTTTGCGAGACGAACGTTTTGAGCCTAATTAGTCAACGATTGGACAATTATTACCAAATAAAAACAAAACGCTACAGTGTAGCTACAGTGTTCGTTTTTCGGGCGGCGCCGAATCAGGCAGCGAACTAAACGCGGCCCAAGAAGCATAAAACTTGGAAAAGAGCACAAAAAAATATGAGGGGCTTGAGGGCACACATACCAGGATCCTACTGCCACCTCCCTTAAAAGAAATCAATATCAAAACCCCCCTCCTTAAAAATAGTTTTTTAGAAGAAATAAAGATGTCCACCTCATCAAAATAAATGGGTGAGCTCGTGGAGGAAGAAGATGAGATGGTTGGGCTGTATCTATGTCCTGTCATTAACAGAGATGGGCATTAATGCTCCTCCATTAACGGAGGCGTCGACTAAGGATGCCCATCTTCGTTAAATGACTAACAAAGGTGGTTGCCTTACGTAGCCCGTCTCCATTAATAGAGCATTAACGGAGACGGTCCTTTTAAGATGCCTGTCTCCATTAATGATTAACAAAGATGGACGTTTCTCCCTAGATACCTCCTCCATTAACAAATGTGACACCCTTTTGTGCCGGCTTCTATTAATCAGGGCGTCAATCTCCCAAAATCTTTTTTTTGTAGTGCGTGGACCATCCTCATGGGATAGCTGTGGATACCTGTTGTGAGCTGATGACATATGTGCATACTCATTTATGAATAGATGTGAATACAACACAAATTTAGGAGTAGTTGGAAAGAGAAAAAAAAACTACATCTCTCATATGTTGGATGATTACGTATGCACACTTGCCGTGACTCTACAATATATGACCACGGTCGCCATATGAGGAGAGTCCCAACTGATTTTTTTTGTATGAAAAAAAAAGAAATTTATGAAGAGAGAAAGGAATGTAGTGTCCCTTCGATGAAAACTGGGTGCATACTGTTTGCTCGACTAAGTCGTTGAAGCTAGCTAGTAGTACTTGAGAGCTAAAGGGCTTTATTTAGTTCCGGTTTAGATCTCGTGTGCTCAGAACTATCAGCAAATTAAAAATGAGTCCTAGTTCATTGATTCGAAATAGAAATGTTTTATGGGTAGACTAATTTTAAGCTAAGCCTTAGGTAGTTGTACGTTAGCGCATTTAGCCAAGAGAATAGCTTGTTGGTGTTGATGTATGCATTTATTCCCCAAGATCCAAATATACACTGCCAATAGTAGTTGCCTGCCTTAGGGCCTATTTGGATCTCATGGACTAACAACTGATTAGCTAAAGTTTAGTCTATGATGATCCAAACAGGTGAACTAGTGGTGGGCTAATAACTAGTTCAAGCTCTAACTAGTTGTTAGTTCACTAGTCTATAGAAATCAAAACTATCAGGCCCAGTGATCGATTCCACCATATTGGAAAAAAGACACTCATTACCCCTAGTCCCCCACCCCCACGCATGGGCCCGCGCTGTCCGAGCGGCTTCTTCCTCTCCCTCTCCGGGCGGGTCGTGGTGGGGAGCGGCCGGGCCTCTACCTCTTCCTCTCCCCCCTATTTGTGGAGATTGAAAAGGAGACGCAGCAGATTCTTGCGGAAGGGTGAGGGAGCGAGAAAGCAGGGGGTATTCCAGCACATCTGGAGATAGGTATATAGTTGTTAGCTATAGCCAGTGGATCCAAACATGGTTGGACTAATCACTAGTCAGTTAATCACTAGTCAACTAATCACTAGTTCTAGTTCATCAAAACATGTCTTGCAAATATCTATTTTATAGCTTCGACTAATAAAAATTAGCTCTAGCTTTTTTGTGACTAATAATTAGCTCTAGCTGATCCAATTTGATTACGCTTGTTCCTTCAAAAGTGGAAATGTGGAAACAAGCCCCGGACGCGAAGTAGCAGGGTTATTGGTTCTATCACATAATTTTCAAAAAAAGTTCTTTGATTGTTTGAATAATGCCAAATCAAATCAAATAAATAAAAAGTATCTAAAAATCCAAAAAGTCATTAAAAGCACGCTGATTAAAATCCCGTGCGTCGCAATTAAACGACGTCACGTTGTAATTAAGAAACCACGTTGTAATTAAGAAACCACGTGGGATAATATAAAGCTCTCGCCGATCGACGAGAATAGCCCAGAGGATCGGAAACTGTGTGGAAGGAAGTATTTCCTCCGTCCAAAAAAAACTGTCACCACTAGTGTATAAAGTAAGTTTGACTCGATTTATCGAAAATATGTGCAAAATTTATATCTCCAACTAAATTTGTTAAAAAACTAGATTTAAATATCTTTCTAATAATATTAATTATATATACCATAAATATTAATATTTTTTAATATATATTTAGTTAAATTTATTTTTGGGCAAACGAAAACGACATATACTGAGGACATAGACAGTGGTACGGAAACGACATGTACTGAGGACATAGACAGTGGTACGGAACTGAAGCCAAGCAAGCAGGCCAGCGAGTAGCAATGGGCAAGTGGGATTTGGCATCGATCTCCGATCCAACACCTACCACGATGGAATCTGTCTCGTCGTCGTCAATGAAATTAACAAATATTTTACGTCACGTGCACAATGATACCGCCGTACCAGCAATCCGTGTCGTCGTCCTCTGCTGCTGCCGTGCGGTGCCGCCGTCCATCATCAAAACCAAAACCTGGATACGTTGTGGGTGGATGTTTGATAGTACCTTCACACCAAACGTTTAGACGTCAATTAGAAGAATTAAACATAAGCTAATTGTAAAACTAAATGCACAAGGTATGACTAATTCATGAGACGAATCTATTAAACTTAATTAACCCATGATGAACACGTGATGATGCTACAGTAAATATTGAACCCTCCTCCTCGCCCCCCTCTCGATGGATGTTTTGGTCGTCTATGGTACTCATCATTGTGCTGCCGGCCTGCGCATGCTACTTGAGCGCTACGGAAGTAGCAGACACGTGTGGCCATTCTAGTGGTAGTAGCAGCGGGCTCCATCCAAGGAACAAACAAACAACTAGGAGGGGTACTCTTTTCTGTTGTCAAAGAAAAGAAAAGAAAACTAGGAGTACTCTTCCTTTCTTTCTCGCTCTGTGCTGTTAAAAAAGAAAGCTGCTCCATCATCCATATATAGCGGGCGAGGGAGCTGTACATGGGTCTCGCTCGTCGTCGTCTCAGCTTTTGCAGCCTGCAGGCAGGCACGCAGTGGTAGGGCCACGCCGTGTAGCTGCGCGCATGTGCAGTAGCTAGCTACTACCGAGTACAGCGATCTGATCGAGTAGGCAGCCAGACTGAGCGCGCGCGGCATTCGATTCCATCCATCGATCGATATGATGGGTCGGGGCGACTCGGCGGCGGCGGCGGCGGCGGCGCCGTTGCTGGAGAAGACGTCGGCCGCGGCGGAGGCGGAGGCGGAGGCGTCGGAGGCGGGCGGCGGGTACTACTACGTGGACGGGTGCCCAGGGTGCGCCGTGGACCGGCACAAGGCGGCGAACCCGGGCATCCCCTACGCCAACTTCCTCTACGTCTGGATCGTCACCCTCTGCACAGGTACGCTCGCCCGCCAATCATCGCCATGCCATCTCATGTTTGTACACCTCGATCTGCGCCTGCCATGCGTATGTACGTGCTTGCCTTGGATCGATATATTGCTCGGCCGTCAAAGCCGTCAGCGAATTGCGGCGAGCCATCCACGCAGGACACGAAGATGGCTATACTTAATCATTTAGAGAAACTGCCACATGATAGTTTTTCGTTAAAATCTCTAGAAAGAAGGTAAAGAGTCTTTTGGAGATGCTCTAGAATTGTGGGGAGCGGCTGGGCCTCTCCTATTTGTGGAGATTGAAAAGGAGATGCAGCAGATTCTTGCGGGAGGGTGAGGGAGCGAGAACGCATGGTCCAGCACATCTGGAGATAGGTATATAGTTGTTAGCTATAGCTAGTGGATCCGAACATGGTTGGACTAATTACTAGTCAGCTAATCACTAGTTCTAGTTCATCAAAACATGTCTCGCAAATATCTATTTTATAGTTTTGACTAATAAAAATTAGCTATAGCTTTTTTTTGACTAATAATTAGCTCTAGCTGATCCAATTTAATTACACTTGTTCCTTCAAAAGTGGAAAGCCCCGGACGCGAAGTAGCAGGGTTATTGGTTCTATCACATAATTTTCAAAAAAAGTTCTTTGATTGTTTGAATAATGCCAAATCAAACCAAATAAATAAAAAGTATCTAAAAATCCAAAAAGTCATTAAAGGCACGCGGGTTAAAATCCCATGCAGTCGCAATTAAACGACGTCGCGTTGTAATTAAGAAACCACGTGGGATAATATAAAGCTGTCGCCGATCGACGAGAATAGCCCAGAGTTTTGGAAACTGTGCGGAAAGAAGTACTCTCTGTCGTGTATACCGTAAGTTTGATTTGATTTGTCGAAAATACATGCAATATTTATATCTCCAACTAAATTTATTAAAAAACTAGATTTAAATATCTTTCTAATAATATTAATTATATATATCATAAATATTAATATTTTTTATATATTTTTATTTAAATTTATTTCTCGAAAAACGAAAACGACGTGTTCATGACATAGACAGTGGTACGGAACTGAAGCCAAGCAAGCAGGCAGCGAGTAGCAATGGGCAAGTGGGATTTGGCATCGATCTCCGATCCAACACCTACCACGACGATCGAATCTGTGGCGTCGTGGTCAATGAAATTAACAAATATTTTACGTCACGTGCACGATGATACAGCCGTAACAGCAATCCGTGTCGTCGTCCTCTGCTACTGCCGTGCGGTGCCGCCGTCCATCATCAAAACCAAAACCTGGATACGTTGTGGGTGGATGTTTGATAGTACCTTCACACCGGACGTTTAGACGTCAATTAGGACTAAACATAAGCTAATTGCATAAGTTATGATTAATTCGTGAGACAAATCTATTAAACTTAATTAACCCATGATTAACACGTGATGATGCTACAGTAAACATGAATCCTCCTCCTCGCCCCCCTCTCGATGGATGTTTTGGTCGTCTATGGTACTCATCATTGTGCTGCCGGCCTGCGCATGCTACTTGAGCGCTACGGAAGTAGCAGACACGTGTGGCCATTCTAGCGGTAGTAGCAGCGGGCTCCATCCAAGGAACAAACAAACAACTAGCAGCCTGTTCGGCAGGCTGGGCTGGTTCGTTGCTAATTCGTGGAGGAGTGCTGCTGACTAATTTATGTGAGAGAAAAATATTATTCTAACTAAAAAAAATATTATTCCGACTAAAAATTTACGATCGTATACGTCCAGCAGAACAGGCTGCAGTAGAGGTACTCTTTTCTGTTGTCAAAAAGAAAAGAAAACTAGGAGTACTCTTCCTTTCTTTCTCGCTCTGTGCTGTTAAAAAAGAAAGCTGCTCCATCATCCATATATATATAGCGGGCGAGGGAGCTGTACATGGGTCTCGCTCGTCGTCGTCTCAGCTTTTGCAGCAGGCAGGCAGGCACGCAGTGGTAGGGCCACGCCGTGTAGCTGCGCGCATGTGCAGTAGCTAGCTACTACCTATAGCGCGGAGTATCGCGATCTGATCGAGTAGGCAGCCAGACTGAGCGCGCGCGGCATTGATGGGTCGGGGCGACTCGGCGGAGCAGCAGGCGGCGGCGGCGGCGGCGCCGTTGCTGGAGAAGACGTCGGCCGCGGCGGAGGCGGAGGCGTCGGAGGCGGGCGGCGGGTACTACTACGTGGACGGGTGCCCAGGGTGCGCCGTGGACCGGCACAAGGCGGCGAACCCGGGCATCCCCTACGCCAACTTCCTCTACGTCTGGATCGTCACCCTCTGCACAGGTACGCTCGCCCGCCAATCATCGCCATGCCATCTCATGTTTGTACACCTCGATCTGCGCCTGCCATGCGTATGTACGTGCTTGCCTTGAATCGATATATTGCCCGGCCGTCAAAGCCGTCAGCGAATTGCGGCGAGCCATCCACGCAGGACACGAAGATGCCTATACTTGATAATCATTTAGAGAAATTGTTCGACGATAGTTTTTCGTCAAAATCTTTAGAAAGAATGTAGAGTCTTTTTAGATATGTTCTAATTTTAAGCTATCTGTTTTATAGCTCCAGCTAACCATTTTGCCTTAACCGATCATGTTCCATGCTTTTATCTTTAATTGTGCAAGCCCTGTAACGCCGAGTAGCTACAGTGCCGTTTTGCTTTTATTTGGTAATAATTGTCCAATCGTTGACTAATTAGGCTTAAAATGTTCGTCTCGCAAAGTACAACCAAACTGTGCAATTAGTTTTTGATTTCGTCAACATTTAGTACTCTATATATGTACCGCAAATTTGATGTGACGGGTATCTTTGGTGGAACGTGGCCTTGGTTAAAATTCCGTGCGTCGCAATGCAATTAATTACACGACGTGACATTGCAATTAATTAAGAAAACCACACGGAATAATATAAAATAAAACTCTCGCCGATCGACGGGAATGTTCCAGAGGATCGGAAGCTGTGTGGAAGGAAGTAATTAGGCCATGTTTAGTTCCACTCTAAAATACTAAATTTTTCAAGATTCTTCGTCACATCGAATCTTTGACATATGTATGAAGCATTAAATATAAATAAAAAATAAAATTAATTACACAGTTTAGACGAAATTCGCAAGACGAATCTTTTAAGCATAATTAGACTATGATTGGACACTAATTATCAAATAACAATAAAACAATGAAAGTGCTACAGTGACGTCTCAGCCAAAAATTTTGCCATCTAAACGGTACCTAAGGAAATTCCAGCGAGCGAGCGAGGAGGAAGGAGCAGTCTGCAGTCGCGATGGGCAAGTCGGATTTTGGCATCTCTGATTCCGTCCGATCCAACAGCGAGAGCACACAGTCCGTCACATGCATGACACCGTAACAGCATCCGTGTCCGTGCCGCCGTCCATCAAAATCAAAATCAAAACCAAAATCAAAACCTGGATCTTTTGTGGGGTTTTCTGGTTCAGCTTTACTACCTCCGGTACATGCATGCATCCTCGCCCCTCTCGGCTCGCAGCCAGCTGTTTTGGTCTAGTGGTACTCATAACTCATCATTATTGTGCAGGCTGCGCATGCAAAGGTTAATTATGTACTTGAGCGCTGCTGCGCAAATAACAATAATATACTCCCTCTTCGCAGGAAACATGCAACCATGTGTTGCTTGCTAGAGAAGGTAGTTCATATTTATAAGTTTTTATTAAATAATATTTATATTTATAGTTTCAAACTAATTTATTATGAAAATACATTTTGTAGTTAATTTAATAATATTTATTTGATATCATAAATATTGATACTTGTTTATTTATAATTGATCAAACTTAAAATACTAAACCGTAATATTGTGCTAGAATTGCATGTTGTCCTGGAGGAGCGGAGGAGGGAGTAATATAAGTAACAAAACCACCGTATGAATGCAGACACGTTTGGCCATTCTAGCAGTAGCACGGGCTCCATCCAAGCAGAGGCGAAACCAGCCATGAATTCTCTCTGTTTCTCCCTCCACTACTAGACTTTAGCTCCGTCAAAGCCGCCAGCGAATTGCGGCGAGCCATCCACGTAGGAGGGGGGTAGATGCGTCATGTACTTAATTGTAACTATAATCAAATGAAATTAGTACTGGACGCATGCAGCAGCAGCACCGGGTCAAATCACGTCTCCTAGCGAAGTAGCAACTAGTTCAAAAAAAAATCACGTAACAACATTTGCAACTCTAAATAAGTTTAATATAAAAATCCAAATTTTATTCTTAGTTTCTGCCATCTCCATCCATCATCCATCATCCATCTATTCGTCCATTTCTTTCTTCTTCGGTAGTAGTAGGAGTGTAGTACTAGTACTTGCCAACTGCCACCATCAGCATGTACTATCGCACAGCATTGCCGCTCGCTCACAACGACTTGTACATACAGCATTGATGCTCCGTCCAACCTGCGCTTTGAGCCAACTGCCCATGGCGTGATGTATTCGGGGTTGGGGCCCCAGTCAGTGTGTCCTTCTCCTCCAAGGGACAGGGGTAGGTCCGGGGACCGGAGGAGGAAGAGAAAGAGAGGTCGCGCGCCGTCCCATGCAGCCGTCCACGCCACACGAATCAGCTACCACCACCCCCCGCCCGTGACCGGTGAGCCAAAGGTGATGCCCAGTTCCCGACGCGAATCAGCGCCTCCCTCCGTCTTGGTTGGGTTGGGGTCGGGGTCCCCTACCACCCACCACCAGCACGGGTGCCTGGGACGGGACGGAACGGAACGGAACGCGGAGGGAACGGGCATGGACGACGAACGACGCCACTCGCCTCCATCTGTACGCGCTATGTAGCACCACCGATCCATTGGTGCTCGTTCGTTGTCTGCCCAATCCATCCATTTGCGTTCCTTGTCCGGCCTGGGCGCCTGGCTGGCCATTGGCATTGTGGGAGGAGGCGACGAAGGAAGGGAAGGTCGGAAGCCCTCGCCACCGCCAATGGCTGACGAGGAGGAGCGCGGCGCGCGGCCCGCGTCGCCCTTGCTGCGCAGCAACGACGGCGGCAAGGCCGACGACCGCCCGGAAATGGAGTGCCCCGGCTGCGCGTACGACCGGAGGAAGGAGGACCTCCGGCTCCGGAACGCCAAGCCGTACCGCGAGTTCCTCTACATCTGGATCATCTCCCTCACCGCCGGTACGTCTTGACCGCTGCCGCGCGCGTACGGCGTACCGCCATTCATTCCCGGATTAGATTCTTTCGCTCCTTGCATTGCTCTGCCTCTGCCTTCTCTTGTCTCGTTGTTGTTCTGCTTCAGCCCTGTACACTAGATTCCGGGAAAGATTCTTAATTTTTGCCCCCCCAATCACCCGAGAATTCCATGACCTGTGTAGACGAATGTCAACCGTCTGTAGTGCACACGCATTAAAATTTTTCCCAATGGGCATGTTGTCGATATATATGTAGGTCCATGCCATGGTCAGTTGTGCGTGCCAAAGTGTCATATTCATTCACTACTAGGGGGGACTGTACATCCTGTGTGCGTGACAAGAGCGATGCAATTTCTGTGTTTCTTTCTTTTGTTGCCATACTGGAAGGCT